TGATGCTTATTTCAATTGAAATTTATTCAGAAACTGCCTGGGCACAGAAGCCATTGTCTTCAGAAACTTTGGTGTAGTTGAATTGACAGTTACTGTGTTGTGATCTGGAGTTCACCATTAAAAGGGTCACCCAAGCAGAGTCATGGAGTTTATTTGGTTATTAATGATTGTTGGCACATCCTATGCAATATATATAAATTGAATTATGGTACCAGATAAAATTATAGATGGATATGAAGCTTGTGTATCATCCATTATCATGTGTAATCAATAAACAATTTACTATCCTCTTGAAAAAAAAGAAACTGAGAGCTGAATCCTGTGAGCATCTGATTACCAGCAGGATTGTCAGGCATTATCAGTCCAGCACATGAACAATTTTCTGCATGAAGTGATGCCTCCAAATGCTCTGGAAGAAGGGCTGGTGTCTTGGCTCTCAAAGGGAAGATAGAGCTTGGCAGGGCTAAGTGCAAGGTGGGAATGCTGGCAGCAAGGAAGGAAAGGGAGAATGTGTCAGAGACAGGGATAGGGAGACTGAGAAACATGGCAAAAAAAATGAAACAAACTGGCTCAAAACAAGGTCTAGGTAGGACAATGACACAGTGGAGACCTCATCCTAGGGCCCCAGGATGGCCTGTGGGAGGACCTCACAGAGACCCTGAGTCAGTGACAGCTAATTCTTGGGAGCTTTCTCACCATGTTTGGCGGGTGAGGTCAGATTCTTTTTCAGGGGATTATTTCCACAATTTGCTGAAGCAAACGTGGATGCTCTGAGAAATGACAGGACCTAGGCAGGTACTATGGGATAGGTGGTGCTTATACCTGCAGTAAGGCAGGTAGAATAGGTTTTCTGAAGAGCTGAGGTGAAAGCCGGAAGTGGGAACACCCAGGGGTGTGGGTCTTCAGCCTCATACAATGCCTTTGAGAAGGGTATGGCAACTGATAAAGAGCTTGGGGATAGGTGATGACAAGCACTCTAGGAGACAGCTAGGCCTGTGGCAGCAGGATTTCAATATGGGAAAATGACCTAACTCTAGTCTGAGGGGATTAATAAAAGCAAGGCAGAGTTCAGCTCTCAGGTCACCAAAGATGGTACCAAGGATCAGAGCTGGGGTGGGCAAAGTGGAGGCTTGGTAACTGTTATCAGTCAAAGCCCAGTGACTTGAACCAGGGCACAGGGCAGGCCAGGCCATAGCTTGGGTATGAAGTTGAGATCAGCAGATAGATGGGCCTGAGGCCTCCCCGTGTTAGTTTGGGTGCCAGATATGGGGCTGGGCCTGCAGGTAGAGTCAGAAGGTTTCAGTTATGGGGAAAGACGACCAGCTGTACTGGGTCACAGGCAACTTTTAATAGACCCCTCACAGTGCTAAGTCCAGCACAGAAGTATCTGCCTCACTGTGCTTGACACAACTCAGCTTGTGCAGCATGACTCAGATCTTGCTGTAGTGGCAAGAAGGCTTCCCCAGTGACCCAGGCTCAACAAATGCAAGCCGTTAACTGAGAAGCTGTGGCCTTCATGGTGAGTTGGTGAGCTATGAGACCTAGAACAAGCCGCTGCTTAGCTTCTGTGCTTCCATTTCCCCATTTACCATCAATCCTTAGGGGAGGAAGGAAAAATGCATAGAATATAGGAAGGAGAAGAAAGACAAGTAAAATAAAAAAGCAAAGCTGAGGATGGCAAAATAAAATAAATAACAATAGAATGCTGGGACTGACTGGCAGACCCTAAGCGAGGGATGAATGGATTGCTCTGACGCATGTTTCTGTGAAAGAGAGGCTAAAGGACTGGTTGGCTATAGGAGCAAGCAGCCCTGTTTGCCTGCCTCCTTAGGCTTTTATTGTAACAACAGTTTGAACTAAAATTAACTATTAGATACTATCAGTAAGGTAAGCATCCTTGAGAAAACATATGTGTCCTTTAAGCAAGGACGTTTTGAAGTCTAAACATAGATTGCAGTAAAACAGACTGGGGGCTCAGACTTGTTTGGAAAAGTCAAGGAAGGGTCTGCCGCCTTAAACAAGGTCCCTCTAGAGACCCCTGACCTTTCAGAAATTCCTCTTTACAGACTTTCTAACCAAGTCCCATGCTTCCCCACAATAGAACAATAATAATAATGAAGTATAATAATGAATTGTAATAAAATAACCACAGTCATGGATCACATGCATGACTTTGTGCCAGACACCCCTCTAAACACTTTTCATGAGGTGCCTTGTTAGCGCAGTAGGTAGCACGTCAGTCTCATAAACACTTTTCATGGATTACCTCATTTAACCCTCGCAGTAACCATGTGTGGTAGGTAGAGATGAGGAAATAGAGGCAGTTCAGAGATGTCTGCCTGAGGTCATACAGGTGGTAAGTGGTAGAGCCAGCTTTCTGATCCTGGCTGACTAGCTCCTGGGCCTGAGGAGGCTCACAAGGTAACACAAGGAGGCTCGTGGAGAGAATAATAATAAACAAGCCCTGGCTACTTTTGCTATCCCATCTGCAGTTAGCCGGAATGTCTCCACCAGTGGGCAAGGGTTCGTCATCATCCACACTCTCACCCAGTCCCCTGGATCACTGGGGGGTGCTATCTGGATAAGGGGCTCAGGTTATGGCTAAAGCCATAGCTCTCCTCTGTACAAGGCAAACAGGCCCTTCTCAAGGTTGTGGTGATTGGCATCCACCATAACCACCAAACCCAATGCCCCTCTTCATTGTCCTGGACCCCAAATCAACAGAGTGGTTCTTGAGCTAAGCACTGTCCTGGGAGTCAGGAGAGAATGAGGGACATGGGATCTAGTCCTGTCTGAAGCTGTGACTGACTGTGTGATTTGAGACAAACCTGTTCTCCTTTGTGGATATTGATTTACCCATTTATAGATTTCGCTTATTCATTAGACAAATATTTACTTAGCTCTCATCATATGCCAGACACTCTTCTAACTAACTACTGGGCTTCAATAGTGAATGAGATGTCTACAGTCCTTGCCTTACTGAAGCTTGCATTCTAGTGGGGAAGACAAACAATAAACAAGTAATCAAGTCAATATGCAATGAAATAAAATGTCAAGCAATCAATAAAGGCTATAAAAATATGGGGAAGATGAAAAATGATGGGGTGTGGGTTGAGGGCTATTAATTATGTGGAAAGCTTTGTCAAATAAAAATTAATAATAACTATGTTCTTTTTATATACATATGTTTTGTTAAAATGAATGTTATAGACATTCAGTCTGCTTCAGAAAGGAACTTGCAAAGATTCAGAGTTCCTCCAGCTCGGTTGTGGGGGCGTCTGCCAGTGATACTCTGGATATTTGTGTTTCACATATTGGGAGTTTATGAATTATTTTCAGTGCTCAATACACCCCTTCAATAAGCCATGTGCCATATTTTAAAATCTTACATATTATTTATTTTTATATGCTGAAATTATATTTAAAAATACTGGCAAATAACCAAGATAAACAAATAGTTATGGGACTAACTGAACTGAGAATAATTATTCTTATGACTGTTTAAAATATTGTTGACCTTTAAATCTTTTGTTTCCCAAATATAAGGAAAAGTAAAGAGCAGACATTCTGCATTGTAGGAACTAACAAAATTGGTAACAGATTCATTTCACAGTGCACTCCCGGGCGACGAAGATTTCAAAGATCATGGCTTACAACCAGGAGATTTGGTGTATTGGAAAAGACACCAAATAAAAGACTATCCAACCTCATTGGAGGGGAGCTTA